ATTCATGTGAATATGACTGAAAAATTTAATTTTTTCTGAAAACGTGGTGTCTATTTACTTGTGACCATGCTGTGTATATATATGTATGTATGTATGCAGAGAAAATCAATACTCAAATAGTCAAGCAATACAAAATCAAAAGGAAGGACTGCATTAAAAATAGCAAATCCAAACCTGTGGTAAATGACATCCAAATGAACAAAAACAAGACCAAACAAAAATCAAATTAAAGACTATGCACAAATCAAGAGGATCCCCAAGGTACAGGCTGTAATGTGGGATATAAAATGTGCCCTGGGTTTTGGAGGTGACTGCAGAAGTAGGACCCACATTGTGGTGGGGATACAACATCTATCAGTCTTAACTTTCATTCGGCAGTCTCACATGAAGAGATTCAAAAAATGAAAATAAAATAATCAAAAGAAGTAGAAATTAGAAGACTAGATGTGGGTGCTCTAGCCCACAATGTCCCACATCTATATCACCTTTCACTTCCTGCATACATTTGTGGGATGATGACTGCTCTCCAAAGTAAAATAAATAAATAAACATAAAGTAAATTAAAAGAAAAATGAAATAAGGTACTACCGCTTGGGGGTAAGTAAGGTAAACTTACCTCCTCAGGTTGAATTCCAGACCCCATTGTAGTAGTGAAGTACTAATTAATAGCACATTAGACAAATAATACTAGTATAAAATCCCAACCACGTTATCTAAACTAACTAGTATAGCTTCCAACCACTACCCATTAAGTCCACTGTAACTATCAATTTTCAGACTCTACACAAGCCTATATATATAAGATAAGGTGTTCATCCTCATAAAAGTAGTGCCAAGTTGTTTAAATAACCTTATTAAAACTAAAAATACTTTTTGGAAACTATCAGCAAAATCTCCTAAATGTTTACTTTTTATATTTATTTAATATGTTCTTATATTTATCACAGAATATTTTAATAATTTCATTCAGTTTCTTTATTAAATAAATTGAATATTAATTATATATATGTAATTCTTTTCTTCTTTGTCATACTCTTCCATATTTTGTAAATTTGAGCTAAATACATGCCCTTGATATTTCTGTTGCTTAATTCAACACCCTTCTTCAATCAATATTAGTCAACTTTTAGACACCTTGACAAACATTTTATACTAGCATGAAGTGTACTTCTTTTTCATATTTATTACACCAAACTCTTTAACCTTTATCATTTTTGCTCCTGAAGAACAGTTAATTACATGAAAGCTTCTGGGTCTTTTGAAATTTATTTGAATCTTTTTTGTATGTCTCATGCAAATTCTTTCAACATGGATGAAATATAAACATTCCTGCACAATCTACAGAAGAAATTACCTTCAATCCAGAAGCTATTCCAGAATATTTTTGAATCCTCTCTGGAGACATGCCTGAAGGAAGGTGAGCTATTAAAAACTCAACTATTGCCACTTTTGCCTTGTTTGTGGAGACACAAGTAAGGAGTCTTTTGCACACATTCAGTCCATTTTCTTTTTCAAACATTTCTTTCAGAATCTTGTTAAAATAAAGTGAAGTATTAAAAATTTTCCAGAAATTTTTCATTTAATGAACAAGCCTATATTTGTACATTCCCAAGTAAAATATTTACTTCAACAAAAAAACTATTTTTACATTAATTACAATGATAGCTTTATTTTTGGTTAATATCAAAAAATTTAAAAAGGTTTGAAATTTCAACTAAGAAAAAAGAAAAATGTTTTCAACATATATATATTCAAATTATTGTAAAAAATAGTACAATTCTAATGGGAACATTAAAGTTAGCATAATCTTTAAATATAGTATTTAATCTATGAATTTTCTTAAACATTTCTTACTTCCATTAACTTCTTAAACTAAATCATAAAATTAATGATATACTTGTTTCTATACTAATAGTGAAATTATTGAAGAAAATTGATAGTTATAATTAATTGCTCATTCTAGGCATACAGTTATTCATAACAGTTAGTTGATCTGTCCTCCCAATTTTCAATATGAGTATAGCTTATAACTTTTGATAGACAGATAAATATTCTGATTAAATTAAAACTTGTTTTAAATAATAGTTTATTTTATTTTTATAAAACAATCAGATCTCATAAAAATAGGTAATTTCCTTTGAATAAAAATGTACATAAACACGAAAAAACAAAGTTCTTACCAATTCAGCTGTCCCTAACTCGGGTGGATCACATTCCAGACAGTAACACACTTTAAGTTCTGAAATTATCTGTAAAATTTCAAATTGTTCATATATTTATTCACTGTCAAACATTTTCAGCCATGATTAAACACACAGCTGTACAACTATGGTCAAAAGTTTTGTATCACCCTGGAGTTTAGTAATGAGAAAAAATTCTATGAACATTATTTAGAGTTTTTATTTAACATTATTTAATCATACAAAGTATAAAATGATTTTTCAAAATCCTACTGAAAGCCATAATAGCAGTACTTAATACTTTCAGGCATGAACTCAATGAAGCACTGAAGAGTCAAGTTATCCCTCAGATTTCTCCATCCAGGCTTTAAATGTAAAAATATTCAGCAGGTTTCATTCAACTTTACAGAGCAAAATTAAATACACTTAGTGAGTCAAAACTTTTGACCATAAGCATAAAGTCCCAACCAAAACTCAAGAGAGTATAACACAATACTACATCAGGATACACTTTCTTAAAGGTATGTTCCCAACTGCTTCCCTACGATTTAATTATTCCATCATTATTTAAACTGAAATTTTTTCAATTTTGTTGAAAGATACTGTTTTAAGAAAACATTAAAAATACTTCCTTTTCTCTTTGAATTTCAATTTTTTTAATAATAATTAGAAAGTTCTGCTTTATGTATATCTCATCGGTTTCAATTTGACTGATACCCATTAACATTTTTTATATATTTTATTTTACCAATTGCAGTAATCACCACAGCTATAAAACTCTAATAAAACATGGTGAAAATTGCAAAGAGTTATAAGTGACCTATGACCTGGCCCGTCACAATGGTATCAGAATAAGCTAGGTAACAATACATTTGCTAACAATATTCATAGACAAGATCAATTTATATCTAATAAATATAGTTTATTTCAATAGCTAATAAGTTCTTCTACTTATCTATGTTGATTCAATTAAATAATCTTAACAATAATATGAAAACATTCAATAAATAACAAGAAAAGTAAGATCTGAATCATTAGAATATTTCTCTATTGCCTACTTACTCTCTATGACTAATTGGGTTTACCTGATGTTTTGTCATACCAGAAAATTTCTGAAGCTTTCAAACAAATGTAATTTAACACAAAAAGATTTTCAGGAACAAACAAATATCCAAACAAACTATAAAACAAGTTGCCAGATCTGTGGTTTGTAAATAAATATTCTAAGCTTCCCAGTAAATTCTGTTGTTATTATCTGCAGAAACTAAAACTAATCATTTTTCTATAAAATCATTAATTACTTGTCACTCTATACTGATGTAAATAGATTATGATCTGCTCTATCCAATGACACATAAACTTCACCTGTACCTATTTTCAAATCTTGCTTCATCACTAGTTGTAACAAAACAAGCTGTGAGGCCATAAACTCCTACAAAAGGCTTTCTAAAATGTAGCATCCACTTGCTGCTCAGTCTTCTAACATATATCAAACTACTATAAAGTGATTATAGTATTTTGGCACTTTTGTATAAAGTTAAAATGAAAGATAATATTCAACGTTAAACTGGTACACAATTAAAAACATTTTATTTAG